ATTTTATGTGAAAAATTTAAAAAAAATCAAAATACCCCTACCATAAATGAGAGATGAAAGGAGGGAGTAATGAATTTACAGCTTCAGAAAGGTGCTATAGAAGTTTCAATTGTTCTTGACTGAAGAAGGAAAATAATAAGACGACATTATAAACTGGAGCCATTAAATTAAATATATCAGAAGCAAAAAACTGTGGCGTTCGCTTTGACTGGCGAAACTGCTTTAGTAGTGGGAGTGTTATTTAGCACGAGATGTCTCGCGAGCTAAAAATGACTTCTACGAAGCCTTTCTGGTATAAAATTCATTAAGCTATTCAATGGAAATTTTCTCTTTCAGATCGATTGATCCTATCTGACTGGTTGAGTTCCGCCGCAGTGAATCCTTTCCATTTGTCCATCTTTTCATATCTATCTTGGTGGAGATTCTGGTGTGTAAGCTATCAATCTTTTCATCATCATTACTTGAATATACACATGCTTAATTTGTTGTTTTTCATCATTTTCCCTGTTATTTCTTCAATTTTTCTACTGTCTTAGTATGAAATCTTTCTTAATTTTCTATTTATCAGCAAAGGAATGCTTGTATCTGCTTAAGTATTACTTGTTTAATGAAATCAGCTAACTCTAATAAGTAATTTCCTTATATTGTCTCTGTCACAAGGAAGAATTAATGGCAGAGGGTGGAAAGGAGAAAAGGACTGGAGCAGATGAAGCAGGAAACAGGCGAAGACCAGGACGTCCGCCAGGACCGCCACTGTCCGAGGAAGAAGAGAAGAAAAAGAGGGAGGAGAAAAATAGAAAAATAGAAAGGATGAAGAGTATCGGGCCAAGAAGACTGTAAATAAATTAATGTCCTGTTGTTTTCACTTTTAATATGCACTGTACTAATTAATTGTAGAGTAGTAAAGAAGAATGTCCAAGTCACGACAGTTAGCATAAGCATATGTAAATATACAAGATCGTAACACTTTCCTACATGAATACATGATCATGCATAACACAATCTGTTTATAACATGAATCATCATTAGAAGTATATAAATGTACATGCATTTCATTCAGCTTACATTCAATTTCTCTTCTAAGTTAGTCTCTGGCTGATGACTATAAAAGAAGTGGTGTGAGAGCTACCTTAGGGATGGTGGTATGGTTTTTCCATCCTGTTAGCATATGATGTGAGTATGTTTGTATGGAATATGTGGTTGGTGTTTGGCTATGGTGCTGGTTTGAGTGGAATCTCCATACTCACACCACCCTGGAGTTTCGAACTTCTCCCCGTTTCTTCTTCATATGGTTTTCAAGTCTTTTTGGTTTTTCTATCTCATTTCACGGATGTGGATTGGCACTATGGAGCCGTAATTCCTCCATAATTAATGTCCTATATGTCCACTCTGCTTTAAAATTACAAGCCAAGTGTAGGACGAGGTAGTAATGTACAAGCTTAAAGGAAGTTCCCATGACTGGATGATGAGCTCTTGAGCTTAGAGCTGAGCTTCCACTGTCCCTCTTACTTGCCGCAAACTTTTTCTCCAGAAACTGCTCTATGTTTTGTTACGGCCGTGGTGTTTTTGTATGTTGGTTTGAGATTTTCTATAGGTTCTACTGTTTAGTATCTGTTTATTTGTGTTGTAATAATGGATGGGTTTATTTATCTATAGTATAAGAGTTTATATGCAGGAAAAAATGATGTAATATTAATTATGTAATAAGCTATGTTGTTCTGAATGACTGATGTTTACTCGAATTATATTCCTAAAAAATCCTCATGTATTCTGTTTTAATTGTAACTGCAGTTTCCATTCAAGGAATATGAGGCCTTTTGTGAGGAGCCCGAAATTGCTGACATGTTAAAGCCTTCAGGGAAAGGGAAAAACAAGAGCTCAAGGAAGAACCAAAGCAGCTTGAAGAAGATTTGATGGTGCGATTGTCTGTGCCTTACTTCCTTCCGAGTTCTAACCATGCACCTTTTCGTTTTGGGTTTTAATATAAAAGTCCCCTGTTTGGCAGTCTAGTTGGATGAGGGAAGCACCTGTTGGGCCCACCCCTTATCCAACACTACTGGGGCCTTCCTGGTTCATCCAATGGTTTCATCGGACTGCACAACAATATTTCATTAATATAATATATTTATCACATCACAGTCCTATGTACCCACAAATGGGCCCTGCTTCTGCCCCCAAGCCACACATTATCATTATGTGCATGTTTTTTATGAGTTGAATTTGTATATATATTAATGTAAAATTTTTATTTTGATATTATTTATATTTGGATGAATTTTATGAGATTTTATTTGATTTTATATAATTTTTATTATATATGTAGGAAAAGACTTAATTGGAAGAAATCATAAGTTTAAGGAGTAAATTGAAAAGATAAAAAATCTGATGATTAAGTTGTGCAGAATCCAGAAGTCAGGGACCAGGACTTTAATTTTACCATTAACAGAAATTGCTTAGCAAGCTACGACTAAGCAGAAGGTGTCGGCACCTTGTTAAAGGTGTTCACCCCTTATGCGATTTTCAGAAATCCTAACTAATTTATTATTTTGGGTGTGGATCCCACTTCTAGCTTCTAAACTCCTATAAATACCCATTCAAATTCAGAATTGGGATAGTTTTGGAGGCTGGTGGCAACCCTCTTTTCAACATTATCGAAGATCAAGATAAAGCTTTCTATTACGAGTTTAATTTTCTTAAATTAGGTTTTGTTTCTACTTACACTCTTTTTATTTATTGTTTGATATTTGAATGTTCACAATTATGACTTCTGATCTAGTCAACTAGGGTTAAGATGTAACCCAATCAATTCAATATAGGTTTTTATGATTTTTACACTTTTAAGATTGCTATTCCATGATGAGTATATATTATTGTTTTTAATGCTTGATCACCGTTAAAACTGATTTAGAGAGCATAATTGAGACTGAGAGGAGATTTTTTGCAATAGGTTCTAATAATATATACTATGAATTAAATGAAAACAAAAAATAGACCAATATGATTCGTGCAGTATTAGTGACAAGTGGACTTAATTTTCTACCTAAACTAGGAAATTGCACAAAATATAATGTATCTTTATCTATTTAAATTCACATAGAAATATAATGAATTAATAGATTAAGATACGTTTGGTATAACTTAAGAAAATATATTGAATAGGATAGGAAATCCGTTGTCACATGAATAGTAACATCATGAAAGCATAATAATCAAAAATCCAAAATCCATGTTAATTGATTTTGGTGAAGTCGATGCCTTAGTATCTCATATCTTGGTTAGTTTTATTTTAATTATTATTTCCTTCTTATCATGTTTAATTAACACTTCTTTCTTTTCGATTATTCAAATAAATTTAGATTAATTATTTTGATACTTAATTAATCACAATTTTCGTGAACTCGACACTCGACTTTTCATTATATTACTTGGAGTCACTACTACATTTGTTAGAGGGATTTTAGCACATCTTCAAAAGTATGTTTTCCTTCTGCTCTTTTTCTAAATCTGTGCAACTCTCTCTCTTAAATTTCAGAAGGATGGAACAAAAATAGAAATTGAAATGTTGACAGGAAATTTGGTAGCTGGTATGGATATATTTGCTGCATTATTGTAGTATTTTTGACATTCTTCTACACGAGGTAGTTATTTCTAAGATGCTGGACCAAATTATGTCAGAGATGCAAGAGCGGCTGCAGCGGACGGAGGATAATATTAATGCTCAGATTCAGAGGTCTGTTGTAGCAGCTCTTACAGAGTTTGGATCCTGCCCACAGGCAAATGCCCCTATTGTCTCTCCTACAGAGCCTCATCATGACCCTCTTGATATGCAAGGAGGAACTAATGCTGCCACTGGATCCTCTGGTGGTCCCACCACCCAGTCCTTCTCAAACAATGAAGAGGTTTAACTTTACCTTGATCCCATTTTATGTAGTTTCTTATGGGACATGTCACATGAATGATGGGCATTTTATGTTTATGTTGGGCAGCTTATCGTAGCTATGGTTCAGAGTAGTGCACAGGAAAAGCTTAGCACAAAAATAACAGTAATTAGATAAGCTAAAGCATGAGTTTGGAATCATACATAGCTATAAATATATGCATGTAAGTTCTTGAAAAAGAGCACAGTCTAGTTAAGCTAGCTTGTTCATGACTGAAATAGCTAATAAGTTTCAGCATCAAATCAAACAACTAAGGTTTAAAAAAAAACTGCATGTGGCTGGAAAGTAGATGAGCATAAAGTGTTTACAAAGAGATATAATAAAGCTTAATTAGATACAAAAGACTTACAAAATAATGGAGCCTAATTCTAGTTTTGATAAAATATACAGGTTTGCATTACTAATCTGGAGTAGTAGAACCAATGTCAGCTACACTTGACACACCTCTTAAGCTAGCTAGTCTGAAATAATGATATACACAAGGCTGAGCTTGGCTTCAAGCTATAACTGAGCCATATATAGTTATTAGTCAATTTTACTACATGTTGAAAACAATCTACTGAATTTAGAAGAGTAATAGAAACACTCATGACAAATTTCGTTTATGCATAATTTAGATAACTGTTGGAGCTGTGGTGTCAAAGCTGCACAAGAGGCAGCAAATGGAAGGAAAGCTGCACAGGAGGCAGCAAATGAAGAAGGAAGGTTGCACCAAAGCACGGTAGCAGCAAAGTGCAGCAAGCTATGCTGCAAATGTTGATGAAATGAGGTTGTAATGAAATGCAAATGAGGCTGCAAAGTAGCAGCAAGTACAGCCACATGAAGTTGCACAAGTGGCAGCAAATGAAAGGAAATGAAGCTGCACAAGTGGCAGCAAGTCTTTTAATGTAATCTTGCATCAAATGTATTAGATAAGTATGAAAATTACTGTTGATGTACTGAGTTTTCTGCTATATAATAGCAGAACATGAATGAGAAACTTGAGTTTTCACCTACACAAAGAGGGAACTCCGGGTGGCTCTCTCTTCCTCATCCAAGTCCCTTCCTTTTCACCAAAAAATCCAACATGGTATCAGAGCTTCAATGATCTTGAGGGACCTCTGAGAGTGATGTTGAGGGAACACCAGAAAAAAAAAAAACCCCACCTTTCTTTGTTTTTCAGATGGTTTTTTCATGTGAAACCCCTTTTGCTTGGCCAAAATCTTGTAGCAAAAAAGGCTGTGAAGATGGAGGCATATGTTAGTCCCACCATGGGAGATGACAAGGAGAGGAAAGCTGGATTCAAAGAGAAGGTGTTCATGGTTGTTCCAAAATCAGTCCAAAAGGACAAAACATGGAATGGGAAACTGAGCACAAAAAACTCAGTTTCATGGTATGTTCTTCACCAATCTTTTATGTTGGCTATGGTTATTTTTGAGTTTTACCAAGAAAACTCTTCATGGATGTGGTTGTGATGCTCTAAACTTCTACGGGCTCATGGCAAAGAATGTTTGGTGGAGATGATGGCAAAGGAAAACTGAGCAACTTACGGGAAGGCTCAGCCAAGCTCCAAAAAAAAAAAGTGTTAAAGCAGCAAATCCAAGCAAGATGAAGCTGCAACATTGAAGGAGGAGCTGATCTGCTAAAGGAGATGCTTTAGCAGCAACAACAAAGCAAAGCCGAAGCATAAAGAACTACAAATGGTAGATTCCAAATGCTTTGGTAAATTTCTTCCTTCCCGTAGCTTTTAACACCAAGGAAGAGTGTTGGAGCTGTGGTGTCAAAGCTGCACAAGAGGCAGCAAATGGAAGGAAAGCTGCACATGAGGCAGCAAATGAAGAAGGAAGGCTGCACCAAAGCACGGTAGCAGCAAAGTGCAGCAAGCTATGCTACAAATGTTGATGAAATGAGGCTGTAATGAAATGCCAATGAGGCTGCAAAGTAGCAGCCAGTACAGCCACATGAAGTTGCACAAGTGGCAGCAAATGAAAGGAAATGAAACTGCACAAGTGGCAGCAAGTCTTTTAATGTAATCTTGCATTAAATGTATTAGATAAGTATGAAAATTACTGTTGATGTACTGAGTTTTCTGCTATATAATAGCAAAACATGAATGAGAAAAGAGGGGTTCTCACCTCAACAAAGAGGGAACTCCCATGTGTCTCCCTTCTCCTCCAAGTCCTTTCCTTTTCACCATAAATTTCTCCAACAATAACTAGCAATGTACAGAATAAGTGATGACAGTTAGCATAAGCATTTCATTAAAAAATTATTCATAAACAGAAGTTAAACATGACATGGTGAACATCAACAAAATAGTTTATCATGCATTTCATAATTAGCTATAGCATGCAAGATTAGTCTTAATATAAATTAGACTTAAATAAAAAGAGTGCACACACAAACACCAAAAACAACCAATAAGTATAAACTAAATGGCTATGGAGTCCATTGTCCACTAGAATGCATATACTCACACTCTAGTAATGAAGCTAGTCTAAGTACAACCTACTGCGTGAAGGTCTCCTTATCTCATTAGTGATCTAGAACATGTTAAACCAAAACATAACACTCGCCTACATATGTACAAGATCATGCATAACATAATCTGTTTATAACATAAATCATCATTAGAAGCATAAACAAAAGTCAAACATGAAATGGTGTACATCAACAAACTAGGTTTTCCTACATTTTATAATTAGCTATAGTAGGCAGGATTAGTCTTAATATAAATGAAACTTAAACAAAAAGAGTGCAAACATAAACACCAAAAACAGTCAATAAGTATACACTAAATGACTATGGAGTCCACTGTCCACTAGAATGCATGTTCTCACACTCTAGTAATGAAGCTAGTCTAAGTACATCCTAGTAATGAAGCTAGTCGAAGTACATCCCTACTGCATAGAGGTCCACTATTCTCATTGGAGATCCAGAACATTTTAAACCAAAACATAACACTCGCCTACATATATACAAGATCATGCATAACATAATCTGTTTATAACATAAATCATCATTAAAAGCATATAAATATACGTGCTTGTCATTCAGCTTCCATTCAATTTCTCTTAAGTTAGTCTTTGGCTGATGACTATAAAAGAAATGTGGGAGCTACTTTAGGATGGTAGTATGGTTTCCCTATCATGTTAGCATATGACTTGTGGGATGGATGGTAGTATGGCTTTTCTACATGTTAGCATATGACCTGATTATGTGTACACAGAATATGTTGTTGGTGTTTGGCTATGGTGCTCTTTTGAGTGGAATCTCCGTACACTGCCATGGAGTTTCAAATATCTTCCCATTTCTTCTTTGTATATATGGTTTTCAAGTCTTTTTGTTTGTCTATCTCATTTCAAGGATGTGGATCGGCAGTATGGTGAAATAATCCCTCCATAATTATTCTCCTATATGTCCACTCTGTTTTAAAATTACAAGCCAAGTGAAGGATGAGGTAGTGATGTACAAGCTTAAAGGAAGCTCCATGAGCTGATAAAAAAATAATAATAATAAAAAGGAAGTGCCTATGACTAGGTGATGAGTCCTTGAGCTTACTGCTGATTTTCCACCTTCCTTCTTACTCTCCTGGCCTACTGCAGCTAACTTTTTCTCCAGAAACTGCTTACAGGTGCAGTTTTCTTGTATGTTATTTTCAGTATTTTCTATAGGCTTTATTGTTGAGGATCTGTTTATTAATTTGTGCTGTAATAATGTATGAGTTTATTTCTCTATAATATAATAGTTTATTTGTGGGAACAAAAAATCATTTCAAATTAATGATTGAATCTATATTGTTATGAATGATTGATGTTTACTTGAATTATATTCTAAAAAATCAGCTTGTATTTTGTTTTAATTGTAAATGCAGTTTCAACTCAAAGGATACAAGGCCTTTTGTGAGAAGCCCGGAATTATTGACATGTTCAAAGCCTTTAGAGAAAGTAAAAAACAAGAGTTCAATGAAGAAATAAAGAAGCTTGAGGAATATTTGATGGTGTAATTATCTGTGCCTTACTTGCTTCTAAGTTCCAACCTTTGCACGTTTTCCTTTTGGATTTAATATAATATATTATTACATCACAGCCCTACGTAACCACAGATGGACCCTGATTCAGCCCCTAAACCACACATTATGTGCATGTTTTCAAAAGTTTTAGACTATTTCATGTTTTCCTTGTACTGCCTTTATCTGAATCTTTTCAACTCTTTCTTAAATTTCAGAATGATGGAACAAACGAATTCTTGTACGTGGATAATATATTTGGCAGGTATAGATATACTTTGCTGCATTATTATAGTAATTTTGACATTCTTCTAATTATGGAATATTGTTGTTTTAACTTTTTCTTTAATCTGCAGGATATTGTGAGGGAGAATTGCAGTCCAGCACTACATGGACCATGCAATTGACTGCAGGTGCCATGAATTCTACTGCAATTGGAGGCGGTGTCTTATTTTTTATTTTTTATTTTTTTGGGTATATCTGGAGTTATTAACTTGCTATTACATGACCGATGACCCTATTGTCCCCTCTGTAGAGTCTCAACATGACCCTCTTGGCATGCAAGGAGAAACTACTGCTGATGCTGGATTCTCCGGTGGTCCCACCACCCAGTCCTCACCCACAATGAAAAGTTTTAACAATACCTTGATCCCACTTTTCTGTCGTTTCTTACGAGACATCTCACATGGGTGGTACAGGTTTTTGACTTTTTTATATTTATGTTCGCTTATTGTAGCTATGGATTACGTTGGACACTAGTTAGGTGGTTGTGTTGAATGGGATATTTGCAGTGGATGTTAATTACATAAACTACATGTTATTTAGAGTGTTTTTT